TGTTTTAACCTAATTCTTTAACACTATTACCCTAATAACCTAATTCATTAACGCACTATTTAGGGTTAATCAAATAACGAGGCTTTGAAAGTAAAGACAATTGAATGTAAATATTTGATTGAACAAATAAAAGAAATGAACTGGACTTAAAGTGTATTTTGTAGAATAAAACATAAAACTCTTTAATAAGAAAAAGTAAAGGAGGACTACTAAATNGCTTTGAAAGTAAAGACAATTGAATGTAAATATTTGATTGAACAAATAAAAGAAATGGACTGGACTTAAAGTGTATTTTGTAGAATAAAACATAAAACTCTTTAATAAGAAAAAGTAAAGGAGGACTACTAAACTTATTCTCCAAGCCTCTCTTTTTATTCCGCAAAGGATCTCTATTTATTTTGGTTGGAAGGGAAATCTTCAGATATTTGACCTATATTCATTCTAAAATTATCTCCTTCTTTGATTGATTGAGAATCCCCAAAAAATATGGCAAGATCTAATTTTTGATTGAGCTTCCCATGAAGATTTGCCTCGACCTACATGTAGCACATCCTTTACCAACTGGTAGGACTCTATCTAATGAATTCTCTGAAATTTATGTAACTTTTGTTACTGGTAGACATTTGAGTACTGTAAGCTTTGCTACTAGTAAAACATGTTTTAACGACTTGTAGAATTTCTAGAATAAAAGTATTGTAATTTTTGCTACCAGTAGAATATTTTTTAACTACCAGTAGAACCTTCATTCTTCTGCCTTCCTACCAATATAACACCTATCGTTAGAACTCCTCTTTTCTTCCAAAATGCTTCTAAGGCTCTTGGCTTCATCTTTAACTGGGAAAACTCAACCCCAACTTATCTCTTGCCATATTTTTCATGTTTAAACTAAACCTTTACATCCAATTTACCGGCAATCATAGAGATCAGGACTTAATACGCAAACTATACTAAGTAAAGTGAATTAGTACATTAGCAATCCTAAAGTGAATATGCTAAGCTATAAAATAATGCAATGTTGAAATCTTAACACTCCCTATTCACACCATGGAATTGTGGAAACAGTTGGAGCATTTCGAGTTTTACAATAAAAGTCTGTGCTTGCACAGATAAAAAGTATGGATGAAGGGGTAGAGGAACCAGTGAGTTGAAGATAATCTCTCATCGTTCTCATATATGGAGCCAGTGAGAGATTATTTCAACATTCCCATTATTTGGACCTGGTGGAACTAGGGAAAAGTTGTGTCCCTGGTACCCCATCTTATGTGGGTTCTCATTGTTAATTTCGTCCAACCCAACAGTGTCTGTGGGTTCAAGTCTTATGGGTCTATTATGAAACATGTCTTTTACCCACATACAAAAGAAGAATAATAAATGTATAAAAAATAGACTATGCATAGGAACCGAAAAGAAATAAACAAATTAAAGTAAAATGTTGTGACTGATGCACCTGAGCTTGTGATGCGAATCACAAGAATTACCCTGCCAACCTTCGAATCACCCTTGAATCAAAAACAAATATTTTTCCCAGAAATGGCACCAAAAATGCTTGCCCCTTATAGTTGATTAAATTATAGAGGAATTCTCAAGTATAGGAAAGGGTATCATTTTCGTAACTCAGTCGATTACCGAGGTCGTCTCCTCAAGTAAAATGAATGGCTCAAGAGGTGATGGTGAAAACAAAAAGAAAACATTGAATTCTTAGGGTTTTTTTTTTTTGAGAAATTGATCACTTTAAGAAAATAACAATGAAAGAAAAGAATTGGTTGATCAGTAGAGATCACCCATCGTGAATAGGTATTTTGACTCAAACTCTATACCTCACTCGAGATTGTGGTCAAACACACTCAAGTNCACTTTAAGAAAATAACAATGAAAGAAAAGAATTGGTTGATCAGTAGAGATCACCCACCGTGAATAGGTATTTTGACTCAAACTCTATACCTCACTCGAGATTGTGGTCAAACACACTCAAGTGATAGATATTCGTTAAACACCCAATTAATAAATAACAAATATGCATTCGAGACAATTGAATTGATTTAATAGGATTTACTACAATCGCAGTGATTACAAAAAATATTCGTATCAAGTGTTAGTTATCGACGAGTAAACAAGTACATATACAATTCGATAGTATTTTCAAACTAACCCATTCAATTAACCCAAATAACTTGACAATAGACAAGCCCTAATTTTGAGTCAAAACCCCTAATTCACGGATGGATTACTTCATTCAATCAATCTCGTGAACGACTACTCACTCATGACAGAATTAAAATTGAAAGCAATTAAAGAAAGTATTATTGTAAATTAAAGCAAGAAGACAAGAATTGAAATTGCAGAAAAAGCAAATACCTTGTATTGAAATCGCAATGAATGTAAATTGTTTCTAGGAAAGAAACCAAAAGTAATTGCTTTACACAAATTTAATACTTGAATTGAACAAAAGCTTGGAATGTAGAACAATGCCTTGAAAGAGAAGACAAAAATCTAAAAACCCTAGAAAAAAAAAAGATGGTGAATTGGATGATGGAATTGGAGCTCTCTTCTCTGTTGATAGACTTGGGTATTTATAGGAGGTGTTTTCCTAAAAATCCTCCTTTCTATCCACCAATCGTGGCCCTTGAAATATTTAGCAGATTGCCTTTATTAGGAGTCTCAATTATAGAATTTATAAAAACCAACCGGTAGGAAACAAAAAATGACCTACCGGTGGGACTATTCGCTATAATCTTCCTTCTGGTTGCCTTGCTTTGTTACTGGTAGAACCCTTCTCTATCTTCAACCAACCTGTAGAAAGTACTAACCTACAAGTAGAATAACTTTCTGGTCTCAGTTGTAACAGTAGAAAGGGTCTTTTTTCTCAATTTTTGCTTCCTATGGCCTTGGCTTCACTCCTGGACCTCTTGGCTCATCCTCCCAAGTCCTCTATGGCATTGAAACATGTGTAATTCTAATTTTTTACACCAATTCAACTAAAAACACAAAAATTTACTATAAAATACAAATCTCAACTAAAACAAAGGAATTAATTGACTAGCATGACTAAGATGAATGATTATGAGGCATGTAATACGCAATATTACGCTCTCATCACCATGCTTAGTAAATTGGATGATTATGGTAAATTGGATGATTAAGAAGCTGCAAAGTGGACCTAGGAGAACAAATGGCACTTTGGAGCGAAATGGATACACATGGGAGACCCATGCCCATCCCAGAATATTAGAGCATGGAAACTTGGAAAAGCCGGGTAACTAGCACCGTCTGAACATAGTTATGGATGTCCGGACCCAATGATTGATATGATTGAGTTTATTTTTTTGACAAAGACAAGCTTGGATTTCAAAAGACAGGAAGACCGTCAGAACATATCTAGAACCGTTCAGAGCAAGCAATGAAGGATGAATTTTAGAGAAGTAATAATGTCCGAACACTTAGAGGACTGTTCGAATGCATTTTGACGATACATACCATTACCATTTGGACCCATGAGTAACTGTCCAAACACAACTACTTAGTTGCAAATTCCAGTGACTTTCACTGTCCGGAAGCTGCATGTACTGTTTGGACGCTCCGTGAAGATTTGTTTCGTACCTCAGCCTATTTTGGATTCTGAATTTTACATGAAGTCTCCTACTAACCTAGACCTAGACTTTAGTATAAATACCTGCTCTCAGCTATTGAGAGGGGATCCTCTTACTAGCCATTTTACATTATTTTTAACTTTTGGATATTCACCATATCTTGTGAGTAATCTTGTTATACTCTTTAATTGGGGTATGAATTTATAATTCTGATCCAAATATTCATGTTATGACATTATTTTCCTTTGTTCTTTAATGTTATATTATGTCCTAAATTAAGGATTGATTGAATGATTTTTAGTAAAGTTTTATACTATGTACAATTGTTTGGTTATTTAGTGTTTTTGGTATGAATAATACTTATCATTCCCTACGAGTTTTACAAAACTAGTTCTTAAATTCTTATTTTTAAATAAATTTAATCTTGCGTTTTCAAAGTTATATCTTTCGGTTGAATACACTAATGTAGGAAATCAACTGAGATAAATTTTAACTCATAAACATAGATATTTGGTGATTATGAACACATCCAGATTCTGAAACTAATGAATCACTTTTCCAATTTGATAAATTACTTTTAGTTTTCTTGCATTTTATAAACCAATTTCAATCTTCCAAATTAATTTTTTATTTTCTTTCTTTACCTATTTGTAATTCTCATCGGTCCCTATGGTACGATCTCAGACTGAACCAAGTATTTATTACTTCATAACCACCGGCACATTACAACAAAAATCGTTTTTTGCGACGATTTTTTTCGTCGCTAAATTAACAAAAAATCGTCATCAATTCCTTTTTGCGACGTTTTTTTTTCATCGCAATAGTATCCACGCATAAAGTATTTTACAACGCAAATTTATTTTTATCCCAAAAAAAAAAATTTTTTACAACAAAAAAATACCTCGCAAAAAATAAAAAAAAACATAGCTAAAATATATTCCACCAACGTAAAAAATTTTAAAAATAATAATTAAATTAATTTTTTGCGACGTAAAAAAATCATCGCAAATGTATTTTTCATAATAAAAAAATTTTAAAAAAATAATTAAATTAAATTTTTCTCGACCTAAAAAAATCGTCGCAAATATATTTTTCATAAATAAAAATTTTTTAAAAAAATAATGTAATTAATTTTTAGCGACGTAAAAAATCGTCGCAAATAATTTTTTAAATAAATAAAATGTAAAAAATAAATAATTAAATAGAACTGTGAATGAGTACACAGCTGCATTTGAGCTATGAAATAGGAGCCGCAAAAAAAAATTGATTTCATCCATATTGAGGTATAATCACACCATTCAAATATTTAATAAGACTAAGAAAAGGAAATTTTTATTGATAAAAGAAACAATTCAAGAATCAAAGAACAAATTTGTTTGAAAGAATACAAGAAATAGCTTTAATCCTTCAAGATGATTAAAACCATTTTATACTACTTTACTGCATCTTCTGATCTTCACATTCAGCTCCTGGAATTTGTCCAGCTACTGAGCATGCTATTCAGTACCTTTGAACCAGACAGATTTTGGCAAACACTCGGTAGCCTTCAAAATGCACAGGCAGCAAGCATCTCCAATGCACAACATCACCCTGGGCTTCATCCCAACAGCTATCCTCAAACCCTTCACAGCAGTGTAGCAGAAACACAGCAGATACAGGCCCATTAAACTGCCTGCTAAAACACATCTAGCTGCAAGCAGTACCCCACAGACAGAAACCAAAGGTCATTACAAAGGCAAGGTACCCTTAATCATAAACTCTCCTACATGATCAATAGGTGCATACATACAAATTGTTTGTGTTTTGCAATTAGCAGCTACAAGGAATAATAAAAAGCAAGGTAGTCTGTAAGCTGATTGAATTGCTAGGACTAATGTATTCATTAAGAATACTGCCAGGCCCAACGTTAGGATACAGAATATGACAGTATAAATGCATGAATGAAAGGATTGGCTGGATTGGAAATACCTTTTGCATCAGTGCAACCACCAACTCAGGGATCTCTGGTATTCCATGTTCTAGAAAGGCCTGAAGCATTGTGAATATAGTTAGTGGCTCTTTCTTTTATACCAAACACACGGCAAACATGGCATAGGATTTAAAGTGAATGCACCAACCAATCCAACCACTCCCGATATATGGAGGACTATCCAAAATATATCTTAAATAGTTTATTGAAATATGTTCATAGAATGATTTCACATACATTCATCATGCACAAATTGAAAGTGTTGATCCAAAAAGCAAGCTTCTCTTGATCGTTAAGACCCTGCAAGTCAACTAATGCAAGTTTCCCAAGTAGGAGTCTGAGAAAACAAGAGACACTATATTTAAGCCCAAGCAGATATGAGACATATGAATTCAAATTCCGAGCAAAGGCCCGTAATTTCCGATACCCTAGTAGTGCAACACTGTGCACCAATTATCCTTTCTGGACAACACATATTAAGTACAAAGAAGACTGTTGTGATGTCCGAATTTTCAAAAGCAACTATACAAAATATAGGACATTTTTCATGGTCAACAAACTTTTCATGCTCAGTTTCAAGAGAAAATTCTTGACCAGGTGAGCCATCAATAGTGTCCAGATCTGCAGGCTGGACACTATGCCATAACTGTGTCATAGTGGGTGTTTCCTTGCAAGCACGTGACATAACTTTATTTGGACAGTTAAACACATGAATTAAATTCCTAAAATTTCTGGGTAACACTGAACATGCACATAAACTGTATTTTATGTACTAAAAGCTGTAAATGAACATGCACGTCAAGGTCCAGCAACTGGCAGATGCTCTCTATGTCAATGCTCTTATGCTTTTCCTCTAGAAAAGAAAAAACAAATAAAAAAACTGGATAGCAGCACAAACAAGAATAAATTTGAAGTTTGCCAACATTAGCCATGAACAAACAAGAAATCCACAAACCTGTTAGACAATATCAAAAGGCATAGGAATAGAAATCCAGAAAATTTGATGGCCTCCTAACCTTTTGAGAGAAGGAAAAATACAAGAGGGAAAAAAAGGAAAGGGGGACAATCAGCATAACTATATGAATTACAGTATAGAACTAACAGAATTATACAGCAAGTGGATGAAGCAACACAAAAACAATCTCTGAATCGATTCAGTAGCTGACTAATTTTATTAATGGATGGAAGATAATGCAGGTGCACTATGTGGTTCTTCATTTAAGTCACCCCTGCCTTCATTATATGTTTCTTCTTTTTTTTTAATTTCTTCAAAAAATTAGCATCTTGTTTTCTAGACATGCATCTAGAACATACGGCTGCTTATTCTAAGAAAAGAAACGGAAACCTTAAACCAATCAGTGCAAGGACTAATCGCTACTTTACCATGGTTCTTGGATGGAGAATCTGCATCAGCTCAATAAAGACTTCAGTAATGCAGAGATCCTGCATAAGCAGAAAGGGAATGGCTGAGTTATTATAAGCCTTATATAATGAAACCCCAGAAAGTTTCCACAATAACTCCACAAACCATCATACCCTGCCACCAATTTCATCATAAAGCACTATTTATGTTGTTTCCATTTTGATCATCAACTCCACCATCTTTCTTGAACTGATCCAAGTAAGAAAAACACTAAATAATTAGTGGTAGCGTTAAAAATTGGGGCAACTTGTTTATATATCTCCCAACATCATAATTGTCTCACATCTATAGGGATTCATGAAGGGATGGAACTACACTTACAAAGTGCTGAGAAGTAGCGATCTGGCTATTTGAAGAATAAACTTCTTGCCCTCCACAGTAGATTGATGAGCTGAAATGGCATGGTTCTACTATTTCATTTTGATATATGGAACTCTTGTCCTTGCAGGGTATGCCTCCACTTTGAGTCATATAACCTGACAACATAGAAAGAAAAAAAAACCCTATTTGGTCACATTATTTTCGGTCTCAAAATTTCACAGTGAACGATTTGAAAGTAGATTTGTTCAAGGAAAACAAACACCTTTTCGAATCTGAAGATGGTTAATGTTACAATGTCCATAAGGCGAGGTGATTCATAGGAAAATTCCATGTCACTTTTGGTTTAAAGCACAAACCTGAAGTTTCATGTTTGGCATTGTCATATTGACCTCCCAAATCCTGCTTTTTCCATGACCTTGCGACTCNTTTGGTTTAAAGCACAAACCTGAAGTTCCATGTTTGGCATTGTCATATTGGCCTCCCAAATCCTGCTTTTTCCATGACCCTGTGACTCCAGAGAGAGAGGAATCTCTTCCTAGCCCCTAAAATCAGAAAAAAAAAGGTTGAAATAAATTAAAACTTTGCACTATTAGGGTGGCAGTAAACACATAATGTCACAAATGATTGCAATAATGCATATAAAAGCAGTATTAACCGCAAAACCAAATATTTATCATTAAGCAACACCCCAAAAAAAACCCAAGAAAAGACAGAANTTAGGGTGGCAGTAAACACATAATATGTCACAAATGATTGCAAGAATGCATGTAAAAGCAGTATTAACCGAAAAACCAAATATTTATCATTAAGCAACACCCCAAAAAAACCCAAGAAAAGACAGAAAAAAAGGAAAATAGTAAAAGAATGATAGACAATTGGCCATTGTCATAAAACTGTGAAAAAAAAGCTAATTAAAAGTAGTAGGAAAAGAAAGTACCGTAGAGGATGGACCAAAAATGGACCCAAAGAGTCCAGTGGAGGAGGATGATGAAGGAGAGTCCTTGGGGCCAAAGAGATCCAAAGTAAAGAACTAGTTCAGAAATTGGGAGAAAGAGGAGGAAGAGGAAGAAGAGAACAAGGCATAGCCATGGAAGAATCAGAAGCTAGTCAATGTCATGTAATATGATGCATTTGCTGGTTACATTGCAAAAAAAAAAAAAATAGATGAGTTGGAGGAATTAGAAAGCAATTAAATTCGAGATCCATGTTTACTGCTAAAAACGTAGAAATGAGATCATATTTGGAACATTATGAAAATAGAAAGCGAAAAAGGAAATTAAGGAAGGAAATAGAAAATCAATAGCCAAACAAGGGACTTCCCTTTCACAAACTAAATGTTGATAGAATTAGGGAAAATCAACAGAATGGCAACCTTCCCCTTCACAAACTAAATTGACGACAATCAATGTCACCAATCAACAGATCCAACGATTCCAGATCCCAAAAACATGACTATTGAACCAAAAACAGTACAACCCAAACCCGATCCAACGAGGAACCTTCAGTCGGTTCGCAGTTATCAACACAACCCAAACCAGGAATAATCAACAACCAACAACAACTTCATCGGTGGAGAGACCATACCTGCTTTGCGATGAAGCCTTTAGTTCAGTCAGTGGAGCTTTGCAATGAGGCCTTCAGTTCCGTCGGTGGAGGCCTTCAGTTCCGTCGGTGGAGCTTTGCGATGAAGCCTTGACTTTAGTCGGTGGAGCCTTATGTGCGGTGGATCTTCAGTCAGAAAGAGAGAGAGAGAGAGAGTAAGGATTTGAGACATCGATTGTTGCTTTAACGAACAAAACACCAAGAAAACGAAAATAAGAAAGAGGACGATTCACATTTTTTGCGACGAAAAACAAAACGTGGCGAAATAAATTTTTATTTTATTTTTTAATTCTTGATTACTTGGGGAAAAAAGGGGAGGGACTCAATTTTTTTGTGACATTTTAATTTTTCTAATTCTTGATTACTTGGGAAAAAAAGGGAGGGACTCACATTTTTTGCGACTTTTTTTCGTGCCAAAAACAATTATAAGTAAATCTCTTTTTAGTGACATATTTAAAAAAATGATGCAAAAAATTGCCAAAACTAAAATTTTTCAAAAATAAAATTTATTTTCTGCGTCGATTTTATAAAAACATCCCGAAATGTAAAAATCTTCAATTAAAGCTCCAAAAAAATTGAGAGGGAATTACCTTTTCACGACATTTTCTAAAAACGTTATCATTAATATTTTAAGTCTAATTTAAAATTAAAAAATTACATTCTGCGACGAATATAAAAATGTCACGAAATAATAATTTTACATAATAAAAAATAAAATTTATCTTTTGCGACAAATTTATAAAAACGTCGCGAAATGTAAAATTCTTCAATTACTGCACCAAAAAACATTGGAAGGGAATTACCTTTTAGCGACGTTAGAAAACGTCGCCATTAATATTTTAAGGCTAATTTAAAATTACAAAAATTACATTCGGCGACGAATATAAAAATGTTGCGAAATAATAATTTTATTTAATAAAAAATAAAATTTATCTTCTACGATGAATTTATAAAAACGTCGCGAAATGTAAAAATCTTCAATTTCCCCCATTTCTAACGCGCCAAAAACCATTGGAAGGAAATCACTTTTTCGCGACGTTTTAACGTCGCAAAAAAATTGTCAAAAAAAAAATTTGCAACGAAATTATGAAATCTTTGCGGATAGTACACTTTTTTGCAACGAATTTTAATTTGTCGCCAAAAAAAAATGTCGCAAAAAAGAATTTTTGTTGTAAGTGGCACTTGGGTGCACCTATTCAATATCAAATAATTAGAGTATCAAGATGGGTTTTGCCATTGGATCTTAGGAATCTTGGATTCTTTAGGGATCTCTTAAGATTTGAGATGCTGAAAATAAGCTTACAAAATAGATACCCTTACTTGAGAAGGCTCCCTTTATTTAAAGGCTCAAAATAGGGTTTGTCTTGGGGGCAAAGTAAACCAAAATTTGTTAACGACCACTCGAGAAATGAGAGGGCGATCAAAGAGCAGTGGCAGCTAGAATGAAAAATAGTTCAAATGTAGCAGAAAGGCAGGGACCGCTCAAGCGACCTCAGGACTGCTCGAGCGGCCTCAAGACCGCTTAAGAAGCCTAAGAGTGATCCAGAGGTCAGTCTTCATTGCCAACTCGTTCAAACTTTTTGGATTTTATCCCAAAGTTTTCAGATACTGCACTTACTGAAGGCAAGAGAGTAGAGGGGGTCCCTACTAGTTTTTAAGATAGAAATCAAGCAAAAACTTGTCATATTAAACACTAAAAGGTGTTGCTCAAATAAGGTATCATTAATGACTTAATCCTATATTTTTAAAACACAATAAAGTTTTAGAAAAACTTGTTCTTTGAAGAACATGTAGGAGTTACCATAATCATCCTAAGTCTGGAACTAAACCAAAGGTTCTTAGGTCTCTAAGCCCATTACCTTTATCCTAAGCATGAAGGTGCATTCGAAGAGTCTTTGATGTATCATTGTAGCTTGAACTTCGCATTCATTTGATGCTTTTCGATTTTTAACATTGTAGCATCACAACCATGGAATTGGTTGAGATTTATAAAAGACTTTACGAAATTAGCCAATTAAAAACATGATCCTAACATATTGGGCTAGATGCTTGGTCCTAATAAGGTGCACCCATAATGTTATAGATGCTTGGTCCCAACAATGTGCACCCAAGTGCATATAGACAAGAAGTAATAATGCTCGGTTAATTCTGAGGTTGTACCATAAAGATCAAAGGTAATTCATGAAGTGGTAATGGAAGAACATGTAAAATTGTTTTAAAATTGGAATTGTTTGTAAGAACGAATGCATAAAATTTGAAAGGAATTATCAGATGGAAAAGGGACCCTTTCATTTCGGGATTTGGATCTATTCATGATCACCAAATACTTATGTTTATGCAATTTATATTTATCTCAGTTCATTTTCAATGACAGTGTAGTCAACTTGAAGATGTAACTTTGAAAACAATAATTCGTTTGATTTGAATTTAAGAATATAAGTAACAATAATTCATTTGCTTTGAATTGTAAGTATCATCCATACTAAGAATTCAATAAAGTTAATGAACAATCAACTAATTATACAGAGAATAGAACTTTGCTAATAAATCTTTCAAACAATCTTTCAAATAAAGAAAGCAATCAAAAATTCATATCCTAACTAAAGACTACAAGGGAATTACTCGCAAGACATGGTAATTCTCAAAAGAAAAGAAAAATGGAAAATAAAGATAAAAGCCTTGGTAGAGGAGTCCCCCTAGCCTTATGGAAGAAATCTTTTTAATTTGGAACTCTCAAGTTGTCAAGATATAGGACTGGATCACACGGCGCATCCAGTCCTGACACATTTGATAAAATAACGTCACAAGCTTTAAACCCCTAGGTTGCATTTAGCTTAAAATGTCATGTCTCTTGGAGAGCAAGTAGAGATCAACAACTTGATGCAAATTTCCTAGATATTCCTTTGGATGTTCGCATGGTTGAAGCTAAGCGAGATGTACTTTCAAACCAAATTGTATACATGTATAGATATTATTATTTATACATTCTATCTTAATACATTTATTTTGGTCAATATATCAAATGTACTTCAATCAAACTACGTGGGTGTGTTGTTAACTCGCGCTTAAAATGATTGTATTCGGAACTTAATAATTAAGCTCGTTTGATAACTAAACTTTGAATATCTTAATATATTAAGTACTCCTTAAAAATAGGTTATTATATTAAGTAGGAGATCTCTTACTTAATTTTGAAAGCTAAAAGCGCTCAGCAAAAGTATCTTTAATAATATATACAATATGACAACTTTACCCCAAAATATTTCACAATCATATTAAAACTCTAATTTGTCTTCTCTCCAAAACCCTGAATCTATCTATCTTGTTCGTCATCTTCTTCCCATCGTCTTCTTCAACGATACCAGTAAGTCTTCTTCCCTTTTTTTTTTTTTTAGTTGGTGGTTAGTCTTCTATTCTTGTCTTCCATTGTGTTCTGCAACACACACACACATACACATAACTACACACACAGACTCTGCACACACATACACATATAATTACACACACATTACACACATATATGCACATGAAATGTGAAAGGGACATTC